TTCCCAGGAGAATACTTCTATAATTCTATCTATACATGCTATTACAGAATTAATAATTTGAGATGACTGGCACTTCTTGATTTGTTTTAGAAATGTCAATGCAGGAATAATTCTAAATATGATTAATAGAACCTAGTAAATCTAATAGGTTCTTAGATTTAGACTGCTTCGACTCATTATCAATTAACTTCTGTTACATAACAAACTGTACCATCTTAAAACAACAATACTTTTTGCTTAGCCATCAATGGATCAGCTGCACTTGGCTCCAAGTTGTTGATTGGGCCTAGGCCTGCTCTTTTTTTTAATCAGAAGGTTAATTGGAACATTTTCTTTTCATGACAAAGGTAGAAGTACAAAAGGGCAAGACCAGTCACACGAACACATTCACACATTTCTGACTACATCATTTCATTTTTTAGATTATTTTCTTATTAGTACATATTTGTAGGACATAATGTTTACATTCCCATTGGCCAACCAAGTCCATGGCAAAACTCAAAGGCAATGAGAGGCGAAATACGCTCCACCCATGATGCGACCAAAGCAAGTCACACAACCAAGCCCAACATCAGAGGGTAAGCAAGTATAGTCCTTCCCTGGAGTATGGGTAAGAATGTATTTTTGAACAAAAATCCAATTTCCCATAGCTCCAAATCTTGATTTTGCTGCTAATCATCTACATGAACTTGGACAAGGGTCTTAAACACTGTTCCTCAATTTCATCTTCTGTAAAATAGGAAAAAAATGTTTCCTATATTATAGGGTTGCTGTGAGGAGTGAATGAAGAAATGCATGTAAAGTGTTTGCAATTATTATTTAATTCTCTATCACTGCCATTAGCTGTTGTTGGAATGGTAAAAATGTCTTTCCTTGGGAAGTGAAACAAAGGTGCCCGAATCATCAGATACAAATACCAAAGCATTTTTACTTTTATTCCAGCCACTTTTTCAATATGAAAAATGTCTACATTAATACAACAGAAAAGCAAACTCATATTGGAAGCTCTAATCCAATGCTAACCTTATAAGAACTATCTAGAAAAACCAAATGAGAAAAAAATATTTGCCTTAATTATCTGGCTATTTTGTACAAAATCTTAGTTACCTTTTTTAACCTAAATTGGTAAAAGCTGAATTACTCAGATAGTTGTTTCAGTATTCCACATCATTTTGTATAATTTGCAGAAAAAGGGGGGGGGGTCTACATTTTCACTATAACAAACAAATATTACAAGGAAAAACATTTTAAGACTATTAAGGAAGTTTTTATATAGGAGTTTAGATAAAAGCAGAAGAGCTAGCGATAAAGTGTCCTACAAAGAAAGAAACCTATTTGAGTCTTTTGCTCATAACTAAGCTGTGGAAGTAATTCAGCCCAAACACAACAACTTTTTCTAAGAAACAGACTTAAAATGGACTCATCTTCCAGTATATGCATTCTACCCTTTTAGTTCTGACTCAAGTAGCCCGAATTCTGAATCCTGCTTCTTCCTCAGGACACTTAAAGACCTTGCAGTCATTCCCCCGATTTAGTCCTTACCTAAAACTCTGAATTGTGGCAAACCTTTTCATAGGTACTATAAACCTAGCTAATTCCCCAATACAAATGGAACCAAATCAAGGATTTGCGTCTTTTCAAACTTCCCTAAGGACTTAGCCCATAACTTAAGCATCCAGGGCATTCCATAGTAGTTAACTAATTGAACCAGTTGTCTATACAATGGCCCACTCCTTCAGTCCACAGAGGATATACAACCAATGCCCACAGAACTTTTATTAATGACTAGGAAAACCATCATGTTTGTCTGAATAGGTGAAAGCTGTTTGCATCTACTCTACCTTGTAAGGTCTATACTTTTAATTCCATTTCTTCTCATTAACTAGGTGGTCAAACAGAGATTAAATCTCTTAGCCTATGTTAAATACAATCTATATACCTATATAGATATCTATCTATATCTATCAGTAAAGAATCCCCAAAGGACTATTATAAATATAATTCCATTCAGAAGCTCAATCCAGAAACACAAATGGCATCCTTGGTTCCAAATGTATTCTCTCTTGCTACTGGGAATCCCTTGATCATCATGAAAACAAGCTTCCTGAAGGATGAGAGACTATGTGGAAAGAGAAGCCAGCCATGCCAGCTGAGGTTCTGGATTTGGGAGGTCCTCCTGCACCACCCAAACCCCAGCTGAACTGGCCTAGACCAAAGAATAACCCAAACTCCCCACAAAGGCATGATAAATAATATTCTATCTTAAGTCACTAAATTTTAGCAGAGTTTGTTATACAGTTAAAATAAATGGATCTTTTTTATCCCTTTTACCCCTTTAAATGCCATAGTAGATTCCCTCAAGATAAAGCCCAAACATCATAACTTATTAAAATGTGACTCTTCATAATTTAACACCAGCTAAACTCCAGTCTCCTCTCACATCATTCTCTCTCCTCCCCTCCCAACTTTTCCTATAAAATTAAAATTTTTTAAACCTTTAAAATCCCACCTAATAATAAATGATTTCCATGTGTGTCCCTGTCTAAACCCCCACTATTCTCTGAGTCCTTCCTGCATCCTGGTAAATAGCCATTTCTTGATTTTAATTTATTAAACATACACCACTCAATTTTCAGTGCCCTGTAGGAGACTTTTTCACTGTATAATAAAAAGTTGCTGCTGTTTATTCATATTTTAATGATACTGTGAATACAATGGTGCATATTCTGACTCCTATTCTAAGAGAAACAGTCTCTGTTGGATTCTCACTGCCATTCATTTCTCTATTTCTTTTTGGATTTTGCAATTATGATAATTCCAGATACATCAAAATAATATCATCATGGGTCAGTTGCTTTGTTCAAAAACAAGCCACCTTGTCAATTTGTTTCCTTTCATATTCAATAATAGAGCTTATAGCCGGATTAATGTTTTAATTGAGCCCCGCTTGTGTTTGCAGCTCCCTGTAGAAAGTTAGTAGTATTCAAAACAATGAACTCATTACTCTTCTCCGGCTGCTCTAAATTAATCCATTATCATTTGGTTAAAAGTAATTATATTCCTTCAGGTGAACACACATACACTGTGTAGACATAGAAAAGGTCATTGTTCCCATTTGTTTTGATAGTTTCCTAGTTAGCTTGCATACAATCAGACTGGGTAAATATGGCTCCAACTTACACATGCAGTGACAGTGGCCTCAGATTCCCACTTTGAGCTACGCCATATTGACCCAAACTACTTGCTTATCTATCTTGCAAACCCTAATTCCCAAGAAACTCAGGAGAAGGGAGTAAAGAATCTTCTTTAGATTCCAGTTTCGTGGGCAGGTGTTCATTCACATGGTTGAAATGGCCTCCTAGAAAGGTCTTCTGTTTCTCTATTCCACTGCCCACACACACAAAGCCACTTTCAGCAGGACTGTTACATTTTCACAGCGATACTGCTGGCAGAATGTGACCACAAAGGGATGAAATTAAATGTGAGCCAAGAAAGTGGTCACTTCAACAAGCTCTTTCCACTGTTCCCCTGTCATCCACCCACTGGGATCACTACCTCAAATTCAAGGGACTCCTCCTATTTGGCCAACTAAGGCAGCATACAAAACCCACTGTGCTGAAAAGGAGACTAGTTTTTAAAAATAGCCCTTTTGGTTTTATAGCTAAGTTACAATTATGCTGTGTAGCTCATTTGTATGAAGAGCCTGGCTACACCCCTTTATTAGACTAAAATTCATTCAGAATCAACAAATATTTACCCAATGCCTGCTAAATGGCAGTGATTCCATATTTTCAAAAGATTGAATGAAACTCATACTATGATTTACATTTATCCCAGGAAATGTACCTCTTTCTGCATAATTCACCTTAAAGTCTTCCTAGACCCATCATCCTCAATCAGGCTCCACACTCAGTGACCAAGTCTCATCAACCTCATTCTCTAAGTATTACTGACCTCTGCCCCTTGCTCTCCAGCTCTGAACCCACCAACTTGCTCCAGGCATGGACTTACCACAACCTTCTAACAGATCTTCAAACCTTCATCTTTTCCTCTTCCATTCAGAGTGACCGTATGAAAAACAAACATGACCATGTCACTCCCCAGCTTAAATACCTCAAGGGTGCCTATTCTATAAATCCCTGAATCCTAAGCATGGCCTGGGGCCCCCTTGTTACCAACCTTGATCCCCACCCCATTTCTGGATCTGTGAATATTGAACTTGCAGGTCTTCAGAGAGTGAGCAATATGGTATTAATAGGTGCACAAAAGCCTGGTCCATATCAACTTCCTGCTTCCACCAAGCCTCTCTTAGTCTTTTCCCTCACAGGTCCTGTAGATATTGTAGAGAGCTAAAAAAAGAATTATGGTACTCTAGCTTCCATGAGCTAGAGAACTAGGCTTGAGAAAATGACAAAAGAACTGGCTAAACCATTGGTTCTATCTCAGTCTCTACTTCACTTAGGTTGAAAATCAATGATCAGGGATGGATGGATGGATGGATGGATGCATGGAGTACTACACATGCTCAGAGCCATTTCTGTCTATCACACAGTTTTAGAAATCCAGCGGGAAGCTCCATAAATCAGTACCAGGCACTAATTCTTAGAAGATTGTATCCTAGGATGATGGCTGTGAGTGACCTGAGCTTACCCTCTGAGGGCTGAAAACCACTCACAGACCCAGAGGGGCCCATAGCAAAACTGTGATAACATTTCTTAGTTCACTGTGTCCTGTCAGTCTGGGAATCCTATACCAGGGCATCCATCATAGAGGTATCCAAGCATCATTTTAAAACAACATTCATCTTTTAAATATTATAAAAAGCATATGCTTCAAGAAACTTTAAAAATATAGATAAGCATAAACACAAAAAGTGCCTACAATCTGAATACTAAGGTATGTGATCTATTGATATATTCAAGTTTTTATTGAAGCATAATCACACAGAAAACTTTATATAAGAACACTATTTACACTTTGGTGCACATCCTTATGGCCGTTTTTAGGTATAAACATGCACATTTTTACCAAAATAAGATAATAAGGTGGGCACCTTTTTATTCCCCATATTTTCATTTTTATTTACAATATGTTATAAAAAATGAACATCTTTTCAGGTCATTAAATATTCCTCTCCAATATTTTAATAATATTCCATTATTAGCAACACCATAACCTATACTTAGGCATTTACATTGCTTTCATCTTTGTGATAAACATCAATGTGGTGAACATCCTTTCAGACATTTTTACATACCGTACTTCCATATTTCTGAAACACTCAAATTTTACAAAACTCAAAACACATCTTGAAAATACAGCAAATTAATACATTTTCCTTAGATGTCATTGTTTTCTGTGGCTAATATTAAAACAACCAGCCAGCCAATAGCATTGCAAAAATTTAGATTAATTAATTAGAAACTTAAGATCCTCAGAACAAGATCTGTATCTTTAAGCATATACAACTTGGTCACAATGAGGATTAGATGAAAGAAAGGTACAAATATAATCAAACATGTCTCATATACAAGGGGTTATGGAAAAATACAGTTAATGTTCAATTTTTTGAAAACTTCTTACAGTAAAAGACACAATGGGTTAAAAATAGGATAAGTGTATTCAAAATGAGGGGTGGTATTTTGAGGGGGATTAATGGCAATGTGTTTTCTACCACAATAAATATTTTCATTTCAACATTCACTGTATCATTCACTGTATTTTATGATCACCCCTTGTTAATCAAACATTTATGTCAATTGCTGTCAAATAAAAGCATCACAGTGTGTCCCCACTACCTTATGCACTGGATCTGGCAGCATGAAACTTCTGGCTCTGCCCCAAAGTCAAAATAACCATGAAAGGGAAATGTTTTGAATTGATTCAGGCCTGGAGGCAGCCATAACAGCACAATTAAAGACATTCACAAAAGAGTCCTTCCTCATGAAAGACTTCCAGAACTAATTCAGAAAGTGGCAAGAATGATGGGGTATTACTGAAGGTAGGGAGAGTATTTTGAAGGGGGTTAATGGCAATGTGTCTTTTACTGTAACAAATATTTTTAAAGTTTCAACATTAACCATTTTTATCATAACTGGTAGATCATAGTATCTATAAAAGTGTTTAATTGGAAGTTTCAACTGAAACGGTAGGACTTTGAATACCAAAGGGACATGTAAGATTGACTAATATGAGAAAACTTCATACTAGGAGATATATCCAGCTAGATACTTCATCCATATCAAGGACATAAAAGGAGAATGTTAGAATTAAGAGAATTTGAAAGGAAGACAAATTTTAATCTTTTGGAGACAGCTGAATCTTGAGTCCCCCCACTGTGATTTCTGGGAGGCTGGGTTAGGGTGGGAGTACTACCTCTTTTCCCCAAGTAGAGTGAAATGGGTTCCACAGACACAGCCTGAGCTTCATGTGTACTCAACAGCAAGTGGCACACAGTGAACTGATGTTGACATAATTTTGAAAGCGGTATCAGATTAAAAGGCTGCATCTAGAAAGTAAACACACTCCCCCCCTCCAGCGGTAGTGTAAATCCCAAAGACTGTATATCAACTTTGCCCAAGATGGCAGCCTGCCGACTGCGGAGCCCTCCAGGACTAAGAGGTTGTGTAGTGTGTCACCAAACAGAGGGGGAAGAAGAGATGGAGACTGTTAAAATCAAGAGGGGTCACAGAACCCCCACAAAAATGCTCTGAGATCATCATCTTCAAACATTTGACCAGGGATAACAAAGCCACCCTGAAACGGGGCCAGCAAGATTTGTTTTCTCTTCTTTCCCCTCCTCTCCATCCATCTTCCAATTTCAAAGACATCAGAAAACTGTGGGTAGAAAGCTTGGAAAGAAGACAAAAAGGGGAAAAAATTTAAGTTTAATTCAGGTTTGGAAGATCTCAGAATGAACAATTCTGACTGAATTGAGACTGGGTTTACAAACTAAATTTACCTTACAACTTGTTTTTTCCTACAGGTGTCCAAGAAATCTTGGGGCTTGGTCAAATTTTTATTCATAGTTGGAAAAGAACTTTTCATAAAACAAAATGAAAAGGGACAATGGTAGAAAAAAAAATAAAGATGATGTTTTCTGGTTTCATCCGAAGAGTCTTGTCTATTTGATGTACCAGTTACTTAGCCAACATTTGTGGAAGTTTTGTGGGCCAAGAATTGGGCTAAACTTTTTCTTTTTTGTACCCCAGATGGAACTCAGGACCTTGCACTTGTGAGGCAGGCAGCAGAACCACTGAGCTAAATCCCTGGCCCCTAAACTTCTTTATTCTGTATGGGGGCGAGACTCTACCACTGAGCTACATCCCCAGCCCTTTTTATTTCTTTTTACTTTTTGAGACAAAGTCTCACTAAGTTGCCCAGGTAGAACTCAAACTTGTAATCTTTCTGCTTCCGCCTACCTCAGTGCTGTGATTATAGTTGTGCTCCACCATACTTGGCTTTGGCTAAACTTTTTATACATGATTTAACTAAATTCTTAGAACTCCATAATAGGTTCTATACTTACACTCATTTATAGTTAAAAAAATAAGGTCAAGAGACATGAAGTGAGTTATTTAAGATTACATATTAAGGTCAAATTCGGAACTGTTTGGCTCCATGACCCATGCTTGGAACTATTGCTCTAGTGAGTTATTGGTAAACACACCGGTAGGGGAAGGACAATTCTCAAATTAAAAGGATTGAATTATCGCACAACCACTAACCTGAACATATAGGAAAAATTACCAAAATATCTTTAGCATCAAAATGGCAAGCAAAATGCTTGATCTGTTATTACTCAGGGCTTATAGCAGCTAAAAAGTTTCAGCAATACTATATTGCATACAGATTCCAGATTAGACATGTCTGTGGAGTGTCCCCATGTAATCGCCATAATATTTTATTGTAGAATAACAGCATAGGTCCTGATCCCGTGTTCTTGGTAAATACTGAGTATCTGTAATCCATTGTTGTAAGGGCTTAACATCCCCTGTGGATGGCCTCAGCCTCAAAGTAAGTTTTCCAAGGCATGGCATCAATAGAAACTCCTTTGCTGCAGATTTGATTTTTATGAATTGGGATCAACAGAATGAGCATACAGTGACCACAGTTATTAGGGAATGCTTTCATCAGCTAAAGCCAACTGGAGGAGGGAAAGGGTTATCCAAATAGCCCAGCTGTATGTCTCTGCTAATTGTGATTTAATCTCAGTTTATAAAAGCACCTGTGTTACTTGTCATGGGTCTTAGTCCTGCCAACTACTCCACACAATACCAACTCTATGCGGGGGAGTGGGGGTAAATTAAATGATGTATGTCAGTGTCTAGAGGGATTAGGGTAATATAGGTTCATTTTCACAAACATCCCGAACTACATTTTCAATCTGTCTTTCCAGAAATGAAATTCTACAGCACCATCTACCACCTCCACCTCTCATGGCAGGCTTAACTCATCTTAAGTCACAGGGCTATATTTTCTCCTCTGCTTTCCCTGAAATGGATACTTCTTTCTTCCTTTTCTGGAAGAAAAATGGATAGTGCTTTACGCCTGAGAAGCTCATAACAAATTGTTAGTTGTACAACTTCTTTTGGTTTCCCTTCAGTGACATGTCAAAATGTAAATCATCTTTCCTCCTGGACCTCAGGCAACATGACACTTGAGCATAAGATCATCTGTTCTTCCCTTCGCTGGTCTCATCGGCCCACCCTCCTTCTCTTGCACTGTGATTCTATTCATCTTCTCTTTCACTGCCTTCATCCAGAGCTTGAGGGCAATTGTCAAACTCTCTTATATACTGTGTTTCATGTAAGCAAGAATGAAATGCTTGTTTCAATTGAAAGCATTTCCTGGTACTACGAAAAGATTTTTCTGCCTTCCACAGTGGAACAAAGGTTACATTAAAAGATATGCTACAAAGAAAAGAATCTCAATGTCTGCAATCTTAACCAAGGAAATCAGAATCTGAAATTGTACAGTGTATCCCCAAGAACTCCCAAATGCTTCGCCCTTCTCTGAGAACCACTATGCAGAGCTTTGAGTGACAGGCAGTAATGGTACAAGCCACAATTGAAAATCTGCTTGCTTCATTCTTTGCATAGACAGCAACAGGCTGATAGAATGCAACTGAAAACATAATTTCGATGGGAACATACAACACGTTTCTCCCAGGAAGGAGTCGGGGGGAGAACAGCGACATGACTTGATCCAGCCAGCAGAGGGCGCGTCTTACACATATAAGTATAAACCAGCCTTCCCTGGACGCTGTAAAGGCCGCCTGTGATTTTTGTCACAAATTTCCCATTTTCGAAAACTACATCCAAGCCTGCTTGGACAAAACTCTGGTATAGTCACTCAGTTCTCTCCTCTTGTCTAAATAAGACTATTTTCTACTGCCCCAGGTCCAGACACTCAAACTGCCACTTTTCTGCCCTGCCTCTGGCATGGGAAAGAAAGTGAAGATCAACTCCTTCAAAAATAGCTTCCCAGAAAAGAGTGGCCTGTATTCCCAAGCAGGCTTCATTTGTTTAAGAGACTTGCACCTAGAATTTCTTGATCAAAGCTAATGTGCTGTAAATTTCTTCATTTAACAGACTTAGTCTGTTCAACTCTTGACACTGGGAATTGGGATTTCCCAGAACTATTAGCACTACACAGTAGGCGCTCCACGCCAGCCAAGAACAGGGGATTAACAGGTATTTGTCTCAGCTAATTTCACTCTCTATACCAGGTCTATAGAGACTGGGGCTTCTTGGCCGAGTGTGTGCCACCCTGCTAATTGGCTAGGAATGTAACTACTCCCGAATGCCAATGGAGCAGGGGTACTCCACAGCCTGAAGAGGCTTGAGGCAAATGGAACCTTATGATGGGTATTCAGGAAATCTGAGAGTTGCTGGGCAGCATTGTAATTGTAAATGGTTCATTTGCCAACTTCTACCTCCCACTGGCTATCAAACACCGATCCCTGCAGATCATGTGGTGATGGTTTGTAAAAATTACACTCAAGGACAATTGCATCTGTGAGATCCTGTAGTAACAAAGAACTGCCATACAATCTATTCAGAATGCATCTGCAGAGTCAAAGGACTACAGGTAACTCCCACAAAACACATCATAATTCCCTGAGTCAAATAAAATCACCATAGCCATGAGGATATTCACAAAGTATATAAATTATTTCTGGAAGACTATAAATAAAGGGAAAGTTGTTCATTCTTTTCCACATGCCCTAGTCTTCCACTCCTTGCTAATAATTGCTCTCTTAATATGTCCTACTTGATAAAGGAATTGAAGAGTCAAGGGCTGGGGATTTAGCTCAGTGGCACCGCACCTGCCTCACAAGCACAAGGTCCTGAGTTTGATCCCTGGTACAGGGAAAAAAAAAGGAATTGAGTAAAATATTAAATACTATTATAGTTATGATAACTAATAACTATGTGTTAGTTATTATGTAACCAATTATCCCAAATTTAGCAGCTGAAACCAGCAAATGTTTATTATCTCAGTTTTTCTGATTAACAGAAATCAATCCAGGAGCAGCTAGGCTGGGTGGGTGTTCAGTTTCTTGTGAGATTGCAATCAAAGTGTCAGCCAGGGTTATAGTTACCTCAAGGCTCAACTGATAGAGAACTCACTTCAAAGGTCACTCCCATGGCTGCTGGCAGGCCACAGAAGATCCACTTCCAAGCAAGCTCACTAACATCCATGTTACGGGCTATTTGTGTCCCTTCAAATTGATATGCTGAAGCCCTAATCCCCAATGTGCCTGTATTTGGAGATGGGGTCTCTAAGGAAGTAACTGACATTAAATGAGGTGGAGCCAGGTCTGATAGGACTTTAATGTCTTTATAAGACAGGAGAGAGCACTCATACTTTCATGTTCTCTCATTCTCTCTCCCCCATCCCTCCCTCCCTCTTTTCCTTCCATTCTTTCTCTCCCTCTCTCTCCCTTTCTGCTTCTCTTCCTCTCTCCTTCCCTTTATCCTTCCTCTCCCTAGTATGCACACAAAGAAGAGGTCATGTGAGCACATGGCAAGATGGTGGCCACCTACAAACCAAGAATAGCTGCCAACTTGACTGGGGTTTTTAGCCTCAAAAATTGTGAGAAAATAAATTTCTATGGTTTAACCTACCTAGCCTATGATATTTTGTTATAGCAGGCCAAGCTGACTAATAGACCCCAGAACAAACAGTCCAAGACAGAGTACCTTGAGAAGGAAGCCACAGTTTGTATATAACTTAATTCAGAAGTGGTGTCCCATTGCTTCTGCCACATTCTAGTCATGATATGCAGGTCAATATGTCCAGCTCATATTCAAGGGGAGTGGATACCAAAGCATGAATACCATGAAGCAGAGACTACAGGAGACCATCTTGGAAGCTGCCAACCATGCTACATAAGAGCAGATTTATTGAATAAAAACAAGTCTATAGTTATACTATTACAACTGTATATATTACAATACAAGCAGTCCATGTTACATTATTAGCATTTATAATGAGACAAAACTGAACTCCAAATTGTGAGTGTATTCTGACAGCTGGTTTATAATTTGGGAGCCTGCTGCTTTATAATCTCATTCACCTATGTGCTTTTATTTTTTCCCTTTTCCACCCTCTAAATATTAGATTTTTTTATATCGGGAATCAAACTCAGGACCTTGCGCTTGCAAGGCAGGCGCGGTGCCACTGAGGTAAATCCCAGGCCCTCCTCTAAGTAGGTATGTGCATATGGATACCACTTCCTGTGTCACAGATCACCAGAAGAATGAACAGTTCACCATTTCAAGCACATCGTCTGGGCTATCTACCACATCTGCAAACCAGTAATAAACCTATTACAAATTCCATC